TGGAATGAAAAAAATTCCTTTTTTCTATTAACCTTTTACACTTGAATGCAAACACTAAGCATCAATTTTGAAAGCTTTTAGTGATTTGTCTTTTGCAACCCATTAGACCAAATTAAGCAAGCACTGAACAACCTTTCAAAGGTAGAAGAAGAACTGTTTGAAAGCCAGCTATTGAACCAGTCATCATAATTCTGTGGTGGAGATTTTGTAATGGCGAAAATCTATTGCGAAGTAGTGAGTGATAGCAAAGCATCGACGACGTGCGAACTGAGTTCACAAGTGGCAAGGAGTCGGAGAATAGAGATTCAACGGTTCAAGTACATTGTCGGTGTGGCCGCGCCTGAGACTTCAAAGGGACGGAAGCATCAGAAACTAGAGCACGATAACGAGGCTAAAGATGGCGCGGGAGGAGCGGAGGAAGCTGAATTTGGACTCGAATTGGATGATCTTCCATGCGATACGAGATTTGTAGCCGTGTTCTTGTGCTAGGTGGTAGTACTTGTCCAAACGATGCTTGCCCTTGACTTTGCCCATCTCTTCTCTCTAGGGTTTCGGAGAGAGGGAGGGAGAGAGAGAGATTGGAAGTGCTGCTCTGCAGTAGAGGATGACAGACAAAGAGTCAAATTTCTCGGATATATATTTAGGGACCTTAGACATCAAAAAATAATATTGTGGATCTCTTCTATTACTAAAAATTAGAGAGGGACCTTAGACTAATTTTCCCTAATTTTATATAGAATAAGGCTTTGTTTGTAAAGAGTTAATTTAACCTGACTTTTTAACTTTTGGGCTAATTTACAAATTAGCTCCATTTGAGAAGAACTTTTGGCTTTTTTTGTTTGGATGTGATGGTTGTGAAAGAAAAAGAAAAAGAAAAATGATTATAATTTAGATATGACATTTTATCTGATTAACTTATTTAGCTTCTTTTTTTTTTTGTCTTTTTGTATTTATTTAGGCAAAAAACTTATTGCTAGGGTGGATTGGGGTTAAAATAGTCACAAAAAGATAAAATAGACTTTTTAATCATAGGCTAAAAAATATCACATCAAAATAATAATTATTTTATTTTTTTTTTCACAAAAATCAAAAAGTCCAAAAGCCCATCCCAAACGAGACTTTTTGAAAATCTCAAATTAAAATAGTTAAAAAGTCAAAATCAAAAGCCAACTTATATCCCAAACGAAGCCATAAGATTATACAATCTTGACACATATACAGTTTCCTATCAACCATACGTGTTTTTACTTGAATAACTAGTTACTTGTTACAGGAAGAGTCAAACTTAAAACCTTAAATATATCAATCTAAAGTTTTATCTTGCACCATATGATCTAATATGGAGTGTGTATAATAAAATCTTTCATTTAGAAAAACTATGGTACACACGTCTCAAAATATGTATACCATATGTACTTTATAACAATAGAAAAAAATTGTATAATTTCATATTTTCAGAGTCATAATTAAAATAAAATAAAAAAAGTCATTACCAAACATAAAAAGATTATAACCAAATATTTCAAAATAATGTCATAACAAATTTTTTTTTAATTATAATTAAAAAAAGAAAATGAGATAACTAAAAGTATATATAATAGGAGAGTGTATAATAAAATTCTCCATTTCTTTAGCACACTCTGTTTCATCTCATTACGAGTTTTGAGTTTTTTTTTTTGGAGGGATCAAATTATGAAAAATGTGATGAATTTTAAATAATTTATAAAATTTCTTATATAAATGTGAGATTCATACAAATTCACGCATATATAAGTTCTACACCTACATAAAAAAATTTAATGAATTATTCAATACTCTCAAAATATATGTTGGGTCCACGCAAAATGGCATCAGATGCAATCATAATAACCACGTGGGACAATCGTAATGATCCCATCAGGCTCAGGCATTGTCAACAAAGTCCACTTTAAATCAGTCTATTTTCGTGTCTGAAGCTGAGATCCACTTTTAAGAAGAGAGTTCGATGTGGCTAAAGAAAGAAAAAAATAGAAAAGACTCAAAAAATCAACATGGCGGAAAGACAATATATGATGGAGTCCAGTTGTACAATTACCCTGTATACATACAAACATACGTACATATATATACACACCAGTTGACATCCTCTTCCTTTTGATTAACTTGTTAACACATAATTGTTACCATGAATTTTAATTGGAATAAGAAATGTTGGTTGTGATTCAGAGTCCTTGTTTGGGAATTAATTTTTTAATTTTTTAAGAAATATGTGTAAAAATTAAAAAAATAATACAATAATTTATAATGATTTTTAAACATCAATTGATGTAAAGAAAGAATTTGAATCATATTGAAAATTTTGAATAAATTTTTTAGATTTGTAACATTAATGCATACATAACTATTATAGATGTTGTGAAAAGGAAAAATCAAGCGTATAGACTACAATTCTCTGTATATATTTATTATTTAGTGACAAAAATATGAATGGGGAGGGAAAATGTGATGAAAATGTGATTTATGGTTGGTTTGGGGTTAGATTTTTAGAGCTTTTTAGTTGATACCTTTGAATAGTTGCTAAAAAAAATATTTTATAACTAATAACAAAAATATTAATGACGAAAATTAACTTTTTGTTGCTAATAATAAGTCTTTTGAGATTGACTTTTTTAAATAGTTTTGAAAGTAAAAAAATATTAATGTATTTATAAAATTTTAATTTTTTTTATAGAACATAAAAATTGATGTGAAATTTGACTACCACTTGATAATTTTTTTAACTTTTTTAATTAAAAATTAACTTTTTGAGATTGTTTTTAATCACCCAAAGTTTCGTTTGACAATATATATTCGTATTAAAAAATTTAAAAAATGATTCATTATGTTTATTTTCAGTTTTTTGAAAATACTTTTTAAAAAATTTGATTTTCTTGTTTTTCATATTTTTTATTTTTACTGAATCTTTTTAATATTTTAAACAATTTTTTTAATTTTTAAATATACCTAATATAAATACACTTAAAAAGTATAATTTTTGTGAAAAAAATCTTTAAATAATTCACTAAATACTAAAAATATAAAAAAAATAAACATTCAGTATATTTTTCATATTTTTTGTGTATTTATTAATTTTTAAAATATTTTTTTACAAATATTTGAATTTTTATATGTATCTAAGTAAGGTATATCTAAAAAAGTAAAAAAAAATAATACTTAAAATTTGTAAAATATTCTTTAAAAAAATAAAAAACTTAATTTTTTAAAAATTAAATTTAAAAAATTGAAACTAAATATACTGATTATAATTTTTATAGACAATTCCCATGAGCTTAATTCTTGATCATCCAAACGAATTCGAAGGGGAAACGAGGCGTTGAAAGAATTCAGCAGCAGGGGAAGTAGATAGTTTCAAGGGTTGCGGCTGGGTGAGTGCTTCAGTCTAGGAAGCCTACAAACCATAAAAAAAGAATACTCTTTTTTGTTAGAGGGAACACGTGGAAGCTCCTCGACACTTCTCTCACCTGGGACCACTTTGGTGGCTTGGCCTGTCTTCTCTTCAAGGCACGCGGCCTTACAAGATTCCAGCCGCCATCCCATTCTCTCTCTCCCTCTCTCTCTCTCTCTCTTTCTCCTTTCCATCACGTTTTCTTTCAACTTCCGCTTTTTCTCATGACCCTAAAATAAAAACAAAACAAATAAAACATAAAGACAATTACCAATTTACCCAAATCAATACAAAATTTATTTATTTTTAGATGTCTTGATTTGTAAGTCAAATTCCGTTTATTTTGACGTGGAATATTTTTTAATTTTTTTTATTATAAATTAGTTTTATATAAAAAGAAATATGTTAAAAAATAGTGAGTTCTAAAAATTGATTTACGAAAATTTTAAAAATAAGTAATTTTCTAGAAAATAATGCAAAAATATTTTTTTTAAAAAAATATCTTACTTATATTTTGTTCAACTAAACAAGAACAAATAAATAAAGTATTTTTGATAAAAATATTTTACGTCAAAACAAACAGAACCTTAATCCAAGTTACTCCTACTAAACTTGGGCTTTAAATGGTTTCCATTTTTTTTCTAATTAACATTGATTTTTTAAAAAAAATTTAGGAATTTTCGGGGTGTGTAACTTAAAAAAAAAAAAAAACTACATTAAAAAAACTTAGTTAAAAAAGCCAATTAAAAAAGTTTTAAAAAATGGAACTATGAAATTGTGATTAATGAGGTGTGATTTGAGCTCAAATATGAGGTTTATGAATTTATGTTAACAGTGAACCTTGTCTACTTAAATGGGTTCTAAAGAATGTGTCCGTACCTTGGCAAACAAAGCATATGGCACTAGTGAGAGAATTTAAATCATGGGATGGCCTAAGATGATATGATCATGTGACCCCACGAGCCAATCACGTGGCTCTCACTCAAACATGACATGATAAGATTATATCATATGTGGCAAATGGCTTGACTTTAGAATAAGATTAGATAATTTAAATTAAGCAATGTCCCTAAATCATTGTTAGGGTGCATTTTTTTTCCTTAATCTAGAACTAGGACTAAGGTCTTTTGATATGGTTCAGGCCCCATAGACTATGTTTCAAATATTCCATGACTTAAAAGATAAAGAAATGAACCAGTGAAAACGATTCTAAAGTAAGTTAGTGGAACCAATTATTCACATCTAAAATTTAACAAACTCCTCCAATAATACCATCTACACTATAATATTTATTCATTTATTTATTTTACAAAAGTCAATATCAGAGAGTTGGTGTGTAGGTTGTAAGAATATTATAACAATTATTGTGGAGTAAATGTCGGGATTCGAATGTATAAAAGTCTAAAAGTAGTGTCTAAAATTCTACTAGTAACATAAGAATTATTGTGAAACAGACCTCATGATATGATACGAATTTCACCAATTATATAAAATAAAATAAAAAATCTATATAAAAGAATAGAATCAATTTTTCATAAGGTTGAACCCCTTCACACAAAAAAATAAAAATAAAAAATAATTCCATCATTGTTCACAAATTTTATTTGTATTGTGAAGCGGAGGCTAAGAATTGCATCGACCATTAAAAATAAGTCAATATCAAAGAATGAGATCAAAAAATCTCAAATTACAAGTTTAACCCCCAAATAAAAATATATAAAAAAAAATCAAAAGATATTTAAAAAAAAAAATGTTATACATAAACGGATTTCAAATATAATTTTCATACCAATAGACAAACACATGGATTTCACGTGTATGTATTAGTGTGGTAAGAAAATTGGATGATAAATCTGTTTATGTATAGCATTAGTCTACACAAAATACCAATTTAAGGTTACAATCCACAACTAAACCTCTGCCCTTGTACACAAAATTTACTTGTATTTGGTGTCTTTGTGTTTTGTTTACATGTTGTTAAACTGCTGCTGTAAGAACAAAATGTCCTCAGCGTTCAACAAATAGTCGGATGTGTCCCCGGCATCAAACCACTGGCTGATCTGCTCCACGGCCTGGAAATCTAAACCACGGTTAAGGTAACCAGAGGGGCTGGTTAGAGAATCTGGGTAGCTAACCTGATTAACTTGGTAATAATCCTGGTTTTGGTTGTTATTAACCGGATTATTGTAATACTCAGCAGTCAGGTCAGAGGCCGGCGAAACCTGCGTCCCAAACGAGTCGGATGACGCCGCCGTGCTCGAATTCTCCGCCGTGAAACTCGGGGCATGGACAGCGGGCGGTGGTGGAACAATTTGGGGTTGGCAGGAGCTCATGCTGATGTTGTTGGTGGTGGTGGTGGTGTGGTGGTAGTGGTGGTGGTAGGTGGTGGCGGAGGAGGAGCCGGAAGCTGTAGCGGCAGCCTGAATTCTCTCCACCAACCTCGGCATCCAGAGATAGCGCATGGTGTCCTTGAATTGCTTGCTGTTCACGTCACATTTGAGCTGTTTCGCGTGCTTCTGAACCCGGGTTCGCCAGTAGTTCTTGATCTCATTGTCAGTCCTTCCGGGTAAGTGCTGAGCAATTTTCGACCACCTTTATGTTCAAAATTTAAATACAATTATAAATTTTCATATCCAAAAACAGAAAGATGCGATATAATCGACAGAACTAATGAAATTGAATTAAATTGAATGACATATACGCATACCGATTGCCCCAGCGTGAATGAAGTTCAAGAATCAGAAGTTGTTCTTCGAGAGTAATATTTCCGCGTCTAACATCGGGGCGCAAGTAGTTGAGCCACCTTAATCTGCAGCTCTTCCCAGTTCGCTTAAGACCTGTTTCATTGAATTACGCAAGAACAAAATTGGTAAAGGTTTAACATATAACAAAGCATAGAAAGAAACGAAAATATGTGTAGTGCTTTTTTTTTTTCCTTTCAAAAAACTTTATTAAGTTCTTTTTTCTTTTTGATGTGGTACGGCTAAAGTAGACATATATGTATTTATTTGATCATAGTCCTGAGAAAGTTTAATCCCTATCTGTTTGTTTTTTCAAGAAAATGAAGCTTCAGCTGTATTAATTTGTTCAAGTTTAAAAAAAAAAAAGAAGAAGAAGAAGTTTTTGCTAAGAATTAGACAGAAAGAGATATAAAGTAGGATGGATAGTGGAGAATTTACAATTAAAAAAAAATGATCATTTCAATTAGATGTATTTAATTCACATTACCAACTGGGTTTGCAAAATCTGTCATGCAAAAAATTGAAATGGGTATATGTGTATATCGATGAAATGATCATAAATTAACCGATATCATACACTATTAACAGATTTTTAAATTAATATACATGCAAAACATATGTACCTGCACAACGAGACAGAGAATTCCAACGGCCTTCACCATGGTTAGCGATGTAGTTCATGAGAGTCAAATCTTCCTCAACAGTCCATGGGCCTCTTCTCAAGTCCATCTCTTCTTCACTTTGGATGTCAGAGTTGCAAACTACTCTACCTTGAACATCCATTTTCCTTTAAATGGAGAGTCGGATTGATTGATACAAAATATAAAAAAAATGGAAATGAAAAAGAAAGCCTTTGATTGATGAGAAAGAAAGAAGAGACAGAGATGTTTAGAGAGAAAGAAACATAAAAATAGAGAGAGATTGGATTAACCCAAAAGGATAGAGATGGTGGCCTTTATATAGATACAAAAGATAGGTTTCAAAATTGTGGAAAAAAAAAAGTTGACATGTGAGAGAATACAAGCCGCAATAGGAACTGAGTTTAGTGGATAATAAATTATTGTCATTAAATTAAGACTCTAAAATTTGTTTGTAATTATAGTTAGCAGAAGAGGGAGGGGGGCTTTGAAGGTTGACGCTTTGACTTTGCCCTGTGTGAGTGAGATGATAGCAGTTCCGTGGAAAATGAAAATTTTCTTTTCCTCTCCAAACAAGTTGTCAATTTTCTATTTCTCTTCTCAAGCCTTTTGCTTGAAATTTCTGACTTTCTTGTTTTTGTTTTACACTCTCTAATTCTTTTAGGGCAAATAAATAACATTCATATGATCTATCTACCGAATTTTTATACTTTTTAGTTCAAATTATAATTATCATATCATTAAAAAATTTATTAGCTTTTTTAAACCTATTTTTAACTACAAATAAAAATTAAATTAAATTACATTTACATTTCTAAGATTTACTTAAAATACGAATTGTCATTGTAGTTTTAGAAATTACAAATACCCCCTTGTCATAATTTTTTATTTAATAGAGTTAACATAAAAAATAAATTTTATAACTATTCTCCTATACAATAATAAAATTACTTGAATTGTTAATTGAAATACATTTATGATAATATTAAAAAATTTAATTAATTTGATGATTTATTGATAAAATAGATTAATTATTATGCAATTTAAAATTTGAAGAGGCGAAATAATTTTCATAATTAGATAAAACATTCTGTATTTTAAACAAATCTCAAAAAGTGAAATTATAATTTATCTTAAAAATTATCATTACCCGTGATTACGTGTATACACTCCATAGATTCTAAAAATGTGTATCACTCTTTATTTTATTTTATTTTTATTTTTTAAACAACAAATGTGTATCATACTTTGTGTTCATATGTTTTGCTTTTGTAATGAATTTGGAGTGTTAATATGAGTACCTCACTTATAATTTTGAATCCCTTGTTTTTTTAGATTCCTATTTATAAATTTCAAAATCTTTAAAATTTCGCTCATTCTCCAAATAATATCAAAATTATCCTTCTAAAAAACTTCACACCCACTAAATGCATATCCCTCTGCACATTCCTAAAATCCATTCATCCCCCAAAACCCCGGTCAATCATCTCTTCCATCTCCTTTATTTTTATTTAAAAATAAAATAAATTGAAATTATTTGCATGTAATTGAATTCTTATTTCAATCTCTGATTTATTTTTTATTTTTTCATTCAATGTTGCAAAATTGATTCGATTGTTCGAGTGTTTTTTTTTTATCAGCAAAAGTGAAACTTTATTGATAAAAAAATATATCCAAATGAAGGACTTACATCAGTAAAGTAGAGAAGTGCAACAAGTATCATAACTACACTCAAACAATCCCAACTAAGTTGACAGCGAAGAGGTAGCGTAATCATATGCCAGCACTACACCCATGATTGGTAAGTATCCAATCAACCAGCCAAAATTAGAAAACAAAAAACAGTAGAAATAACATAATACACCTAAAGTAAAAATACCCCCAACCCAGCAAGTAAACACCCCAGGCCTAATACTGCTCTTTAGCAGCAGTAGACAACTTGCAGGTAATCAGCAGTAGCAATGGAACTAGCAGACTACTGGCATCAGCAACATAACTTAACTGTCTCACCCATCTATTCCAGATTATGCTGTTTTCCATTTAAACAACATTCATTTCTCAGTCGCCAGATTAAACAAAGCATTGAATTGGAACAATCCTCTATATCCCTTTCAAAACTATAATCTCCACCCAGCAAAACACTAGCAGTTGCAAAACTCAACAACAATAACAGCAACCCAGCAACAATGGCAAAGCCTACATTTCAACCCAGAAAACAACCAACAACCAATACACCTGTGGCAACAACCCCAACAGAACAGAAAAACAAAACATCGGCAAAAACAAAACACAAACAGCAACAACCAAAATAGATAGCAGCCAAAAACAGTAACACACAGATCATTAATTGAGAAAAAAAAAAAAAACCAGCAGCACCTCCACCATGTCATAGGCAACTCAAGAGCACCCCAAACAATTTCTAACTTGATTAAAATTGAACACAACATCATTAACTGAGAATGAGGTACCACTGATGTGAGATCTCAGCATATTGCTATTCTCACCTTGATACATTCACACAGATCATTAAAATTGGGCTAAACCTCCTGGAAAACACACCCATTCCTATACCTCCACACAAACCACAATATTACTGCAGGTAAAGCCCTCCAAACCTATTAACTTTTTTCTTAAACTTCCAACCCAACCACCAAAGTAACAGCCCTTCAATGGAACTAGGCATAGCCCACTAAAAACCCCACCATAGAGCAATAATAGACCATATTTTCCAAACAAAAGGACAATGAAGCAAAATACGGTCAACTGATTCAATTGCCTTATGAAAAAAAATGCAATTCAGAACATCAACAGCCTCCAAGATACCAAACCTATGAAACAGTTCTTTTGTTTTCAGTCTCACTCTCTAAGCTAACCAAGTGAAAAATTTAGCTTTTGGTGGGGAGAAGTTATTCCAGATTAGGTCGACTGATCTCTGAATGGGGCCATCATTTACCAAACCCAAGCATAAGTAGAATGGACCTTGAAGGCCCCTGTCTGTGTAGACTTCCAAACCAAACAATCAACTGAGTCACTTTGTAGAATGGGGCCATCCCCTAAAACAGTGGTTAATCTAACCAACTCATCTTCTTCCCAAGACCGAAGTGCTCTTCTGAAATTGAAGGCCCACCCAGATTGATTAGATTTTCTAGCTATTTGCAGACTCAAGGACAGCTCTTTGTCTTCCACCAACTGGAACAATCTTGGAAATTGACTTGAGAGATTTGTTGAATCCAACCAAGGGTCTCTCTAGAAACTAACTCTATCTCCATTCCCTATTAAAATTTCCACATTATCCTTGTAGAAATGAAACAATCTGCCATTCCTTTGAACCACAAGTAATATGTTTTCCCATATCTTCGATGTAGAGCCATTAGCAACCAAAACAAGGAACCACCTTCCCCCTACAGAACCATACTTCTCATAAATAACCAACTTCCACAGAGCATCATCCTCCTGGCCATACCTCCACCACCACTTTAATAGCAAACTGTCATTGGCTAACCTAATATTCTTAATCCCCAGACCCCCTTGTTTCCTACTCCTGCAAACCTCAGACCAACTTACTAAATGGAGCTTCCTATTATGTTCTGAATGTCCCTATAAAAATGATGCTTGAATCCTATCAATCTCTTTTGCAACACCCTCTGGCATTTTAAAAAAAGACATAATATACAGGTAGAGCAGACAACACAGACTTTATAAGTATAACTTTACTTGCAAAAGATAAAACTCTTCTCTTCCACCCAGATAGCTTCTTCTTGAATTTCTCCACAACTGGTCTCCAAGTCTCCCTCCTAATAGGACTGGCCCTCAATGGGAGCCATAGATACTTCAATGGTAACTTTTGACTTGAACAATTTAATTTTTGTAGCAAACTCCTCAACCACTACATCTGCCATTCCCACTCCACACACAACACTTTTATAAAAATTAATCCTTAGACCTGAGATTACTTCAAAACACCTAAGGATTCTTTTGATAGCCATAATTTCCAACCATTCAGCCTCACAAAAAATCACTGTATCATTAGCAAATTGCAAATGAGATATAATCAAACCATTACCTCCTACTAATACATCTTTAAAAAGACCCAATGCCTTAGCTCTTGATATGAGTAAATTCAGTCTCTCCGCAACAATAGTAAACAAGAACGGAGATAATGGATCACCTTGCCTTAAACCTTTTGAGGGCAGAACTCAAGTGATGGTGACCCATTGATAAGAACTGAAACTGTTGCAGAAGAAATACAACCCTTCATCCATTTGGTCCAAGTAGATCCAAACCCCAAATTCTCTAACATATGAATGAGAAAGTTCCAGTTTATAGTGTCATAAGCTTTTTCAAAGTCGAGCTTTAGGATTAGCCCTTTTCTATTAGACTTCTTCCACCAGTCCACAACCTCATTTGCTTTAAGAACTCCATCCATAATACTCCTTCCACTTAAAAATGTTGGCTGGACTCTATCAATAAAGCTTGGCAATACTACTTTCATCCTTCGAGCCAGCACTTTAGACAACACTTTATAAATGGAACTGACAAGACTGATAGGTCTAAGTCTTTAATTGATTCAAGACTATCAATGTCACACCCCAAACCCGTCCCTAAAAGTCTGGGCATGGCCCGTTCGAAAACGAACACTTAACCTATTGTAAATAACATATGGGGCCTCATCGGAAGCATAAAGTAAGAAAATAACTATACATATAAATTCCATTGAGCTACATCTACATGCCAGGACCTCTTATACATCATATTCATCATGGAAAATAGATAAAGCTCCAAACCATATTTTGTAACATCGGTGATAAACAAACATACGTATAGACCCAGCCCCATCATTGGGTTTATACAAAAATCATTGAAGTTCTACGTCTTCAACCTTAAATGGGTAATCAAAATTAAGCTAACATTTCAATAGACTTTACAAAAATAAATGGCTTCGTGCAGTGCCTGAACCCACGAAGGTTGACAAAAGAAAACGGGTGTCATGACTAGGACTGACCACCTGGTTGGTTACCTACAGAAACAGACATTAAACAGAATGAACCAAGCTCAGTGAATAGTAATACATAAATAAAACGATGTTTAAATTGAAACATAACACATAGCAATGCATATAAAGATGTAGAGTTCACATAGTTAGTCTGGTTTGGTCCTCCAAACTCGAGGGCTTTAAGTTCAATCTTGCATCTTGCAACATAAACATGGTGGCTATAAGCCCTTGAAACATGGTGGCACGAGGCCCTTGAAACTTGTGGCATAAAGCCCTTGTAATGTGGTGGCACGAGGCCCTTGAAACAT